AGCCAGAAAATCATACAATTATACAAAGAAACTGCTATTTTTAAAATATCTTTTACATAGCACCAGGAATTATGTGCCAAAGGTGTCTCAGACATCTATAAGCACGTGGAGATGTGTGGGGTTGTGCACAAATCTAACGGTATTCTGGTTTTAGGCTCGTTTTGTGAACAGCACCTGGATCTTCGGGAAGGGGATGTGCCATGTCAGTAGGTTTGCGCAGTACTGCTCCCTCCACGTCTCTGCCTTGACCCTCACGGCCATTGCCGTGGACAGGCACCAGGTGAGAGCTCTCTGCAACAGGCAGCCGGGAAGCTTGGGAGGGTATAATGGAAACGAGAAGGGATGACCCCGTGTCCTTTCCTTCTCAGCTCCCAGGTTAATGTCAGATGCATGAGGAGCTGACAGGGTAGAGGAGCAGTTGTTGATGTCAGATGGAAAGAATAGTTTCAAGCCCACAGCAAGGCAGGAGATGGGAGATGTCCATCACCTTGCGATCACTTCCAGCTGGGGAATGGGAGCTCTTCTGTGGTGGGCAATCCAGTAACTCTCAAATGAGGAGAAAGTCCAAGATCCTGACAGGAATTCCTGTGGGCAAACCTCCACTGGGGTGGTTTGTCTGGCCCAGTGAGGAACAGCATCATGGATGCAGGGCCATCCCGGTTGGCTTCCGCAGCTCTGTCCGCCTTTGCTCAGGGATGCCTCGCCCCTTGTTACCCCCAATACCAGAGAGCTGACTGTACTATACCGGTATTTGTCACAAGTGGTGGAGAGCCGACTGTACCATGCTGGCGTTTGTCACAAGCAGAGCTGTGGCTTGCTGCTGGTGGTGGGCTCAAAACTGGGGACAGCCAGGCATGATCAGTTTGGAGTCACCCAACAACTGTGCAAAACAGACCAGTACAGTTGACATTTTCTGCTAGAAAGCTTCCAGGTTTCCAGACAACGCACTGGCTGTCAGGAGCATCCCCAGGGAGCTCTGGTTTGTTGTAGTGGCTTACTTTTTCCCCCCCCCCCCCCCCTTTTTTTTTTTGCTATTAAATAAAATGAACCTGGAAATGAACATGTCTGCAAGACCCACTGGTACCTAGTTCTCCCCACCTAAACACAAACAATGAAATGAGAGGGTAGGACTGGGATCTGATTTTGCCATTTCCAGGGAGGAAAAATTCAGGCTTTCATGTACAGTTTACAGTCAATGGGAGCTGGGTGAAGACAGTACTGCTTGCATGCTAAATTCCCACTTCAAGTAATAGATTTAAGGCTGGAAGATTATATGAAAAAATGATCTATTTATTTCCTGCAATGGCATATCCCTGAATATTGGTTTATTTTGCACAGGTTATAATGCACCCTCTGAAACCTCGCATATCTACTGCAAAAGGTGTTATCTACATCTCTGTAATCTGGATCATGGCAGCTTGTTTTTCCCTACCACATGCTATCTACCAAAAACTCTTTACCTTTGAATACAGGTAAGGATGTGCTTTGCTTTCCTCCACAGCCTCCCTGGAGGCCAAACTCTCAGTGGCCAGACTTTGGCATCTTCTGCTGAAAGCCCTGAAGTTATGTTGAGGTCAGCCAAATATGGATCTAATCTGTAATTTTCATCAGATTCCTATTGCAAAAGCTGATCTCCTGTTCTAGTTTCTATTTTTAATTATTTTATCTTTATTCTGTCACACTGATCAGATGAAATAGGCTAAGAAGTTAGAGGATCTGGCCTGGTCCCTCTGTCTCTACACACTGGCATTTTACACAATGTACAGGTCTGACCTATTTGGGCACACCAGAAATGGGGAAAAAACTTAAAACTTAAGTTTTTTATCTACTTTGTAGCCTTGGGAAAGTGAAAAAATCTGCCTCAGCTGCTTGTTCCATAAAACGCTGTCCTGAGCCTTGATATTTGGAAAGTGCTTTAATGAGGGAAAGGTCCTTAATATGTGCAGAGACTGTGCTTCTGTTTGCCAAAGGACAGAGAGTAAAAACCTGCTTCTGTGCAGCTGGAAATGTTGTTATTGATGAAATTCATCAAATTATCATAAGGTCATGAATACCCATGAGAAATTACCACCACATTGCTCACAGGCTGCTCCATGGCTCAAATCCTTGGACAGCAGAGCTCCACGTACTGGTGACACACATGCATAAACAGAAGGTCAGCTTCCAGGCTTTCTGGCAGGAGCCCTCTCCCTCCTACCCCCCTGTTTCTGAGGCCCTTTTCCCGCGGTGCCCGGCCATACTCGGTCTCACCCCCCGTCCGGTATCTCCCCTTGCAGTGAGGAAGTTACCAGGTGCCTGTGTCTGCCAGATTTCCCCGAGCCTGCGGACCTCTTTTGGAAGTACCTCGACTTAACCACCTTCATCTTGCTCTATGTCCTGCCCCTTCTGATCATCTCTGCTGCCTACATGACAGTGGCCAAGAAACTCTGGCGGCGCAATGTCATCGGGGACGTCACCACTGAACAGTACTTTGCCCTTCGCAAAAAGAATAAGAAGACCATAAAGATGCTGATGCTTGTTGTCATCCTCTTCGCAGTCTGCTGGTTCCCCTTAAATTGCTACGTCATCCTCCTCTCCAGCCAGACCATCCACACCAACAATGCCCTGTACTTCGCCTTTCACTGGTTCGCAATGAGCAGCACCTGCTACAACCCCTTCATCTACTGCTGGCTCAATGACAGCTTCCGATCAGAACTGAAGGCTTTGCTCAACATGTGCAGAAAACCTCCCGGACCCGCAGAACAGAGGCTCCCCTCCGCAGTCCCATCCTACCAACTGGCTTGGCCAGAAAATGGCAACTTCAAGAGGTTGCAGGTCTCCCATGTCCTTCCGTCAGCCTCCAACGTCCAGCTGGGGAAGACGGACATCTCTGCAGTTGAACCGATAGTAGCTGCAAGCTAAACAGCGGCCCTGGGAAATCTAAAGGACCACACTTGGATTTGGCTGGAGCTAAAATGATGGGAAGATGTGGAGCCCTGGCCTACTTAAGGACTGTGCAATCACACGTGGTCAATCGCAGAAGGATGTTCTGAGGAGGTAGTGTGAGAGAGCTGCATGTCTGATGGAGGCTAACGACAATGGCATGGAGCTCCTAAAGGGAGGAAGCAAACTCTTCCCAAAAAGGAACTCTCTTTGTCAAGTTGACTTTGGATTGGCTTGAGGGACAGGATTCTCTGCATGTGTGTCGCTGTTCTCCACATGACTAAGCCTTTTTACCACTGGGGCTGTGTGTGTGTTTTGCTGGTATTTAAACACTAAAGCAACAATCTAATCGCATCAGGCCTCCCTTCCCGTTGCTTAAGTCTCTTAGTAGCAGCGTGGAAATGGTCGAGATGTAGGTCTTTAGGCTTCTGGCTTAGATCCAGCGCAACTGGGTAGGAAGATATCCCTTCTGAACTGGGGTCTGACAGGTCAAGATCTGTTCAGAATGAATGAGCAGATATATTTCACAAATTCGTGTTTTGGTGGAAATACCCTCAGAGAAGTGGAGGTATGATGGACATGGATAAATAGAGCAGTTTCTTACGTTGCAGGCATTCTTTCTAAGGTAGAGTTGAAGAAAAATGGATGCCTATTCTTTGCGTAAGTAGATGGCGAACACCAACCTGTTAACTCAGCATCTGTTGGCAGTGCTAAATCACACAGAATTTTTCTTTCCTAAGGTAAAGTCATGAATATTCAGAAAGCTTTTCTTCAAACCAAGATCTAAAACCTCAAAAAGCTTCTTCTGAAAATATTGGACATACCATCCACAGTTAGAGCACTGATAATTAAACACTACTCTGAGTTTGGATTAGGAACTTTTGATCAGAGCATCTCTGCATTGTTGTCAAGTGGCAGGTCAAGGATCACACTGTTTGTCTTTTGAATTTGTCTATGAATGTTGCGATTTTACACTGTAAAGCACCTGGGTACTTCTCAGATCAGACATTTGGCACATTTCATCCCAGCTAAGACGTTAGGTCTCTGGAATCACTTCATAAATGCACTGCTTTGAGAGAACAGATAATATCTGTGATAGCGAGTACTAACAGTGGAAAATTTCTCTGCAAGATACCCTCCGGTGATAGCACAATTTTGGTTCATTTAAAGACAAGTGAGATGTGTCCTTCTTGGGGTGGCTAAGAAAATTGGTGTGACTGCAGTTGTCTGGAGTAGTTTGCAGAACTTAATGCTCTTAGCAGAATAAAATCTGATTTAGAATAACTCACACCTGAGTATTTAAAGAGGCTGAAATGCCTACCACTCCTTGCAGCCAGCCTGTCCTTTCAGAAGGTGTTACCAGTCGCTCATGTTGAATCCAGTGCTGTTTCACTGCCCTTTATCAAGGCCCCATGAGTCAGGGTACTGTGTATCACCAATATATAGAATCGAACCTTTCCTCCTGCCTGCTTTGACCCCTCAAGCCAAGTCCCATTTTCTCAGTTCTCATGTGCAACTTCAGCCCTGAAGTGGTCAGGGAGTTGGACTAGATGATCCTTGTAGTCCCTTCCAGCTGAAACAGTTCTACTCTATTCTATTCTATTCTATTCTATTCTATTCTATTCTATTCTATTCTATTCTATTCCATTCCATTCTACTGGAGATTGGTCTGTGTTTACATGCAGAGTCTAGCAGCAAGTGTTCACTCACTGGTAGCAAAGACAAGGGAGAAGAGCAGTAAGGAGGGAGCCGAGTGGGGAGTGAGTGTATGATGGCAGCAGGAGGAAGAAGAGACTCAGAGAGAGGACAGAAGGGAAGGGGATGGCATGAGATTCCCTGTCTGGGGTAAAAGGAAGAGAATGAGAGGAGATCAAGAGACCCTTCCCAAAAGCATCCTGTCTTCACTCAGGGCAATAAATTACCAGGGCTATGGTTGGGTTTATCTATAGAATCACCTGGCTTGAGGAATGGAAAATGTGGTGTACTTGGTTTTTGAAAAAGTAGTCTGCCATTAGGGAAATGCAGTATTTCAGATAATCATATAATATCCAATATTCTTCAGGATTCTTTCTCTGTTTGGTCACGAATGACTTGAGAGAGGAAGTCTTCCTGGAAATCTACTTCTGACAGTTAGATTTTGCTAGTAGCTTGACCTTCTGCTCTGATCCTTCAAAGCGTCTTCACTCCTGCACATGGCCAGGTGCCTCCTGTGGCTCCTGCCAGACCAGCAGTGCCGGGGCTCTGCCAGCATCTCCTGCCTGCCACAGAGAGCTGACTGAGCACGGGGCTGGGCAACTCTCCTCAGAAAATTAAAGCAAGGCATTTTCAAAGTATGATTCTGCTGTTGCCAGTCTTTTAAAAGAGCAGAAGGAAAAAATTTATTTTGCATTTTGTATTCATCTTTTTAGGTTTTAATGCTTTATTTTTTCTGTCACATCTTTTCTTTATTCCAGTGAGTCTGTTTCTTAAAGCACAAATACTTGCAGGTTAATGGTCAGTTGAAGCTCATGGACAGACTGGCAGCAGAGGTGAGCCCCAAGTGACACTTGTCCTGCCCAACACTTTAATACAGCTTTGGCAAGCCAGAACCATTTGGACCAAGCCATATTTTACATCAGAGGTCTTTTTTTCCCTTTCAGTGAATGTGGCACAGTTGTTTTCAAGCACATACACATATTACAACAGACCCTGCAGCTAGATTCTGGTATTTAGCTTTGTCTGGGACCAGGGGCTCATGGTCTGAAGTCAGTAAGATGTCCTTTCTGAAGCTGAAGGTAATCTTTCACCATCTTAAGATTCACCTTCACTAGGTGCCGTTATGATCCTTTGAAGAGTTATGCAAGTGGAAACTCGCCGTAACTCCAGTGGACAAAATCCTCAAATGCCCAGTCACGACGGTGTTTGTTCAGGTGGGTCTGACCAGGGCTCCGGCAGTTACAGTGCTGGATCCTGCACCCCAGCACCAGGTGGAAAACCTTTCTTCTCCAGGCTCTGCCTAATCCTGGATCCGGGCACAGAGCGGGTGTAAGAAATGCTGAAGCTGTTTGGCTTAATTACAGAGGACAGGAGGGGTGGACCTACTAAAAAGAAAAGAAAAGTCAGATTGCCAATGAGCCTTAACAGCATGCTCTAGGGATCAACCAGGTACAAGTTTTAGGGAGAACAGGACAGAAGCGTGCAAGAGAAAGACAAGCTCATCGTTACAGAGCTAGAAATGGTGCCCTTGATAACTGTACGTAATACTCTGTGCTACAAATTACTTAATTCAGTACAGGACAATTCCTGATGTTTCCTAATTAGCTATTTTTCATTTTCTTCATATCTGAATTGAGATTCTGGAGAAACATTTTGCATTCACGAGTGCTGCTGAAATCAGCGGGGGTTGTGCTCTGAGCACACAAAGCGCACTAGGATGCAAACTATTCAAAAACTATCATGTCCTGGGCAATTTAAATTGAGCATCCAGGCTTCATGGGTATTTTGTCATTCTACCCCAGCTCAGTTTCAGACTAGGGGGTTCTTTTAAAATCTGATTACAGCCTTTGGTGTGTAAAAAACTAAAGAGATGGGCAGAGAGGAACCTGATGAAGTTCAACAAGGGGAAGTGCAGGGTCCCGCACCTGGGACAGGAACAACCCCATGCACCAGCACAGGCTTGGGGTGGATCTGCTGGAGAGCAGGTCTGTGGAGAGGGACCTGGGTGTCCTGGTGGACGACAGGTTGACCATGAGCCAGCAGTGTGCCCTGGCTGCCAAGAAGGCCAATGGGATCCTGGGGTGCATTAAGAAGAGTGTGGCTAGCAGGTCGAGGGAGGTTCTCCTTCCCCTCTCCTCTGCCCTAGTGAGGCCTCATCTGGAGTACTGTGTCCAGTTCTGAGCTACCCACTTCAAGAAAGATGGGCCAAACTCTTTTCAGTGGTGCCCAGCGACAGGACAAGGGGCAATGGGCACAAACTGAAGCATAGGAAGTTCCGTCTGAACATGAGGAAGAACTTCTTCCCTCTGAGGGTGACGGAGCCCTGGAACAGGCTGCCCGGGGAGGTTGTGGAGTCTCCTTCTCTGGAGATATTCAAGACCTGCCTGGACAAGTTCCTGTGCAGCCTGCTGTAGGTGACCCTGCTTAGGCAGGACTAGATGATCTCCAGAGGTCTCTTCCAACCCCTACCAGTCTGTGATTCTGTGATTCTGTGGCTGCACTCAGAAGCCAACTCGGTGAGTGTGAAAGGATGGTCTGAGTGATAAGAAAATAAAATACATGTGCAGGGTGGAGATTATCTTCTTTCATTTTCCCTTTTATGTGTATTTGCCTGTCTGGTGCAGCTGGACTTTTTGCTACCTTTTGATTTTTGGTCTTGTGCAGTGCTTTGAAACAGCCATCAGACAAGTGGTTTAGTACCCACCTTAGAAAAACAGATCTGCAAGAACAAGCCTGTGAGGGACTTTAGTGTGAGAAGGGGCTGGTTGCTCTGGACCAGGGTAAGGATCATGCAGTTGGGAGGCTTTTCATTCCTCTCTGGGAACATAATTAATCAGAGCTAAATCTGAGGCGTTATGGAAAGGGAAGATAATTTTGGTTTATCTGACTTCCTAAGCAAGTCAACTCTTCCCACTCCCACCTCATACCCACAGAATCAGAATCACCGAGACCTGTGTGTGTGTCCATGTGGCCTGGCCAGGCTGACTCCTGTGTGACACAGAGCTCAAGGGATGCTGGCTACTGACTCCTTGTTGCGTCTTTAGAGTTCCTTTTTGTTGACAACAATGAACTACATTTGGATGGGTGTCTACTGGATAATGCAGAGTACGAAAGGTGCTCAACAGCTGCTCGTTGCAGGAAATCCACGTAACCAGAGCACAGGAGTTTCGTGGAAAAATTCATTGCTTTTAGAGAACGCATTATCTGGCGTGTGAATAAGGGAACTCAACTAAGGTCACGCAGGTGAAGTTAGTGCTGGCATCTCCAAAACCTTGAGTGGTTTGCTTTTCAACTTTCATGTTTTTAAGTGTTG